TAATCTATAGTTGTAGATGTTAGTCTTGTAATCAATACAATTTATAAAATTATTATAGTTGTGTTAGTGTATTACTTCTTTTTATTATTATTATTTTTTTAGATCTATTCATTGTAAATTTGACTTTTTTTTTAAAAAAAAAATTTTCTTCAACAATCTGGAAAAATCCCCTTAAAAGTTCGATTTTCGGTTTGGAACCGAATTAGGTTTTTAAAATTCGGTTTGGATTGGATCGGTTTCAAATCTAGTTCGGTTTGGATTCGGTTTGAAAATTTCAAAACCGAATTAATTCGGTTTGGATTCGGTTTGGTTCAAAATCCAAACCGAATACCGAACTTTCACCCCTATTGAGTATTTCATTATTGAATGTGGTTTGATTATGTATCGAGTAATGTTAAGTGCATGAGAAATCCAAGCTTAGTATTGCCCGTTGTCTTCCTATCACATGATATTGATCAGACTTATAGTCTTTTCATATCCCGTTTGTCTCTGTGATTCCTTGTTGCTTAGTTACCAATGGTTAGGCGGATTCCCGTTCTCCCTAGTGTCTTAGTTTATTGATTTATTCCATCTTATTAGTATTATTTTAGAACACCATTTTCCATTGATTTCGAACTAGCTTAGGTTTAAGATTGATTTGCAATTACTCTCGTTCCTCGTGGACCGAACCTTTATTTGCCATTGTACTTGGTTATAGGGTGTTCGTATAAGTATTGTTTGATTGAGAGTTAGATTGTAGCGACCGATTTAACCCTTGTCACGTACCGAGAGATATATACATATACACAATCCTCCCCCAAGCTACACTCGGCAATGGCCTCATTGCAACGTATGGGAGGTGGGAAAAACACTCATGAGTCCTCACTCGAACTCATCATCATTGCCGTCATCATCGTCACCATCATCATCATCATCAGCTGCCCTGCTACTACCTGCAATATCTCCCATATCGGGAAAGGTATACCACGAAGGATGGGAAGCATCCCTCGGCATATGACCTTGCCTGCAAAAATAATCATAGACAGGATACATAGATAAGCGAGAATCGGTCTCAAGAGTCTGGATACGGGAGTATAGGCCTTGCTGGCCTAACTGAAGTTCCTGAATGCCGGCCATGATGGCCTCATTATCATAGGGGACAGGTGGAGCAGTGGAAGAGGAAGAGGGTCTAGCAGACTCTCGCCTATAATAGGTCCTCGTAGGGGCAGTTGGGGGAGGTGAACCGCTAGGAATCTCTAAAAGATAAGAAGGTTGATGAGGGTGAATCTTAGTAAGGTCAAGAGAGGGTAGAGAGATGGAACGCCTATGGCTCTTCCCAATGAGCCAACTAAAATTGCCAAATTCAACAGACAGCCAACTGGTAGTGGTGAAGTAATGCTAGTCTAGGGTAATAGGACCTGGCACTGGTGTGTGGTGAGCTTCATCAAAGCCCTCCTTAAGTGCCAAATGGGTCACCAAGCCGCCTAAAACTATAGGGATGTTACAGCGGTTGCCATTAGGTTTGACAGTGGTGAAGCTAAGACCCTGTTTCCTAAGATGAAGGGCAAATAGGTGAGCAATGTTCATCTGGAAATCCTCATCATCATCCCCATGTCTTAGATAACTACCCAAGATCGCAACATCATCAGCCCTAAATTTATTGGGTTCTATGCGTCCAAAAATAGTCCACCCGGTAAAGCGGGTCCAAAGTCTAAGAACGGGTTGATGTATTTTATTTGCATGAGCATGTTGCATAGATTCAATGTTTTCACCTGTCATGGCAAACCACAATTCCCCAGAAATGAAATTGTTTGGTTGCATAGTTAGTCTTGTGGATAGGAGACCAAATTTCCTAGCAAACCCATCTAGTGTAAGGCGGTGGGATTTGTTCAACAACCTATACACCACATGCGTTACTAACCCGTCTCTACCCTTTACCACATCAAAGGAGCTCAAAAATTCAAGAGTGATATCCTCATAGGTATAATGAATCATGTTGAACATTTGAGACATGCCAAGTTTAGCAAATAAAGTTCTACATTCAGAATCAATTCCTAGTTTTGCAAGCAAAGAGCGATCTATAAAGCGGGTAGGAATTACCTTCTGATGTTGGAGCTCTATGAAACGCTTCTTTTGATTCAGAAATTCGGGCATGAACTTGATGTGTGGGAACCCTGGGATACTCTCCAAATCATGTTGGGGTTCTTGCGGGGCGCCTCTTGTTATCTTCCTTGTATCCATTGTTGCTCCTCAAGCTTTCTATCTTTAGAAAAGAAAATTGGAATTTGGGTGAGATGAGTGTTTGGAGGGAGAGGAATAGTAAAGGAGGTTGGATATGGGATTAAAGTTATGAAGGATGAAGAAATTGAAAGGATTTAAGGGAAGTTTGTGGGAATTAGAGGAGATGAAGAGAGTTAGGGTTTTTTTTATTTGGGGGAGTTTTGAGAGAGAGAATGTGGGAATAATGAAGATGAAGGATTAGAATGGTGAAAAGAGAGGCGTTTTTTTCTGAAATAAAAATCGTTGCTACCCTTCATTTTCTTTCACGCCCGATCGGGCTGACCATGCCCGGTCTGACCGGGCGGTGAAAGTCTGGAAATGTTCGCATGCTTCTTCTAGCTGTTGACTCTCGCGCCCGATCGGGCAGCTCATGCCCGGTCTGACCGGGCGGTGGGAGTTGAATTTCAGCCTTAAGTCTTTTTTTTTTTTTTTTTTTTGCTTTCGCGCCTGATCGGGCATTGTATGCCTGGTCTGACCAGCGATGAAGGTTAACTGTCGCCTTAATCTTCTGTCTTCCTCTTGCCTCTCGCGCTTGGTCGGCTGGCCTTGCCCTGTCTGCCAGGGCGGTAAGGGTTAGAAAAAAAAAGTTTTACGTTTTCTTCCTCCCTTTTTCTCTTCTGGTCAGTGCTTCTCGTGCCCGGTCGGGCATTGCATGCCCGGTCTACCAGGGTGACGAGTAAGTTTCTCGTTTTTCGACCTTTGACAGCCCTCTTGACATCCCATGATAAGTGCATAATATATTATATTTTTAGTCCCTAATATTAGTCCAGTGACCGCTTTATATTGGTTATTTTATGATTTTATTTACTTTTATTATTTTAGGTTTTATTTTATTCATTATTTTATTTTATAGTTATTTTTATAATAATTGATACTTAATTGTATGTTGTGTATTTTTGGTAGGAAAGCAAGAGGAAAATAAAGCCCATTTACGTTGCTAATTGCTATCATCAAACTATATGAAGGAAGCAAGATACTTGCAAAATAAAAAGAAAAACAGTAAAAAAAAAAAAGAAGAAGCACGTGTCTCCTGAAGAAAGCAGCAAGCTACAACTACAACCAGCAAGGTACAAGAAGATGAAGTGGCGTGAAAACCAATGCTCAAAAACCACCATATACCATATGTTTATCTTCAACTTATTCCCTCCGAAATTCAAGGAAAAGATGAATGTTTATCTTATTTCAAGAATATATCTCATATCCAAAATTCAGAAGCTGTTTTGGGTTATAAAAATCCCCAATTATTTCTTCTCAAAACACACACAACTTAGCCAATAATTATACAAAGAGTATGAGAGTTCGAGTGAGTCCGTAATTGGTCAATTGGTGAAGAGAAGATAGCCATTGGAGGGCAGCTTAGTCTCGAATCCAAGGTAGAACAAGAACGAAGGTGAATCGAGGGGTTGAAGCCGGGTTTATTCGGGTGTTCTTCAGAGTATATTTTATAAGTCTTCTTCTGAACTTATTTGTTCAATACTACTGATTTATTTGATGTTCTTTGCTAAATTGATGAAGTACTTTTATTGGATTATTGATATTATAATTGATTCTTGATAGTATTATTTTTTCGATTTAATGGGTATTTGAAATTTGCTCGTTCTTGATTATTAAATTTGCAATTTGACATTGATTGTTATCTATCATGTTATTAGTTGTGAATTATTGCTATCTATATGATTTGGCTTAGTTTGAATTATATAGTGAAATAGTATCTAATTTTTATCAAGTCTGCGATTATGGTTTGGTTTAAATCAGAGGGCATTTTCAATCTAATTATTTTAAGCATTTATGTGATTAGTTTAATTAGGACTAATGAGGTCTCCTAGTTTTTAATGCTTCCGTATCTAACTCATGCAAGTTGCGAAATATTTGTGTTAATTAGATCGGTTTAGAGTCAATTTCGGCTTAGTCCAAATTTGGTTTCAAGTAAGGGAGATAGGGAGTCTTTGTTACTATAGTCTCTACGATTAATCTAATCGTTAAATTGAGTATTTTGCAGAGTCGGTCAATTATTGTTATCAATAGTTTAGTATGAGTAGAGCCGAAGTGGAATTGGTTAGTTGTGTCGTCAATAGTAGTTTATTAGTTTAGTTCCGTATCAGTTTTATTAGTTTAGTACTATCTTAAACAAACCCCCCATTTTATGTACATGTGTGAATAAGTGTATACTATGTAAATTTCAGTAATGTAGTGTAATTTAGTTAAACGTTGATAAGAGTTAAAAATCTCCTCGTGGGATCGACCTTTGCTTACCCTTTTACTAGTTGTTAATATTTTTGAAGGTTAAGTTAGGAAAATAAATATTTAATTTTATACGGTAAACGACACGTATCATCCCACTTCTTGCATAACTCGGTGCTCTCTGAAAAAAAAAAACAAAACAAAAACAAAACAAAACAAACACAAAACTAAAAAGGAGAAAAGAAAGAAAAAGAAAATAAGAGAAAGTAAGAAAACGGGTTGCCTCCCGCAAGCGCTTGTTTATAAGGCCTCTCGCTCAACCACATTAGTGCTCACTGAGTTAGCGATGGGGAAGAGAGTGCGATGTCCACCTTCTCTTCGATAGGATCCCCGACTCGGTAATGCTTCACCCTTTGTCCGTTGACCTTGAAAGTACCTCCAGTCTTGTTCCATAGTTCAATAGTGCCGTAGGGGTAGGCCTTAAATACGGTGAAAGGACCCGACCACCTAGACCGAAGCTTTCCGGGAAACAATTTTAGTCGTGAGTTGAATAGAAGAACTTAATCTCCTTCCTTGAATTCCCTTATCACAAGGCCCTTGTCATGCCACTTTTTAGTTCTCTCCTTGTATAATTTTGAACTTTCAGAAGCTTTGAGGCGGAGCTCATCTAGTTCATTTAATTGTAGCAACCTCTTCTCTCCCGATGCTTTAGCATCAAAATTTAGGCTCTTAATGGCCCAAAATGCTCGGTGTTCTAGCTCAACAGGTAGGTGGCATGCCTTCCCATAGACAAGTCTATATGGGGTCGTACCAATTGGCATTTTAAAAGCCGTTCGGTATGCCCATAGCGCATCATCAATCTTAGCTGACCAATCTTTTCTTGTCCTTGCAACCGTTTTCTCTAAGATAGACTTAATTTCTCGGTTGGACACTTCAACTTGACCACTGGTTTGTGGGTGATAGCCAATGCCAAGCCTGTGTTGTACTCCATATTTCTTCAACATCGCTTTGAACCGATGCTCCAAGAAGTGTGTTCCCCTGTCACTAATCAACACACGTGGGATACCAAATCGGGGAAAAATAATTTTTTTGAAAAATTTGCTTACCACACGGGCATCATTGGTTGGAGTAGCAATAGCCTCAACCCACTTTGACACATAGTCAATGGCTACTAGGATGTATCAGTTCCCTTGAGAAGAAGGAAACAGACCCATAAAGTTTATACCCTACACGTCAAACAACTCGACCTCGAGTATGTTGTTGAGTAGCATCTCATTCTTCCTAGAAATATTACTCGTCCATTGACAATGATCACAGGCCTTGACATAGGAATATACATCTTTGAACAAGGTTGGCCAATAAAAACCGCACTGCAAAATCTTCGCGATTGTCTTCGAGGGACCTGCATGTCCACCACATGGTAAGTCATGGCAATGAGAAATGACATTATTTACCTCACTCTTTGGGATGCATCTTCTGATCACTGCATCCGCACATAGCTTATACAAGAAAGGAACCTCCCAGAAGTGTCTCCTTGCCTCATAGAGGAATTTCTTTCGTTGTTAAGACGAGTAGCCATGAGGCATTGTACCTGTGGACAAAAAATTAGCTAAATCAGCATACCAAGGTGATTCAATTTTCGAAAGACCTAATAAATGTTCAGCAGGGAAATAATCATCAAAAGGGAGGTCATCTCCATCCCCATTATCGAGGAGGAGGCGAGAGAGATAGTCTGCGACGACATTCTCAGTCCCCTTCGTGTCCTTTATCTCGATGTCATAATCCTGCAACTAAAGGATCCAACGAATCAACCGCGGCTTGGCGTGACTTTTACTTATTAAATATCTCAATGCCGCATGATCTGTATGAATTATTACTTTCGAACCAACTAAGTAAGAATGAAACTTGTCTATTGCATAAATTACTGCTAGCATCTCTTTTTCAGTTGTGGCATAATTCATTTAAGCAGGGCTAAGAGTTTTACTAGAGTAATAAATAGCAAGAAGTTTTTTGTCCTTTCGTTGCCCCAAAACGGCTCCTACCGCATAGTCACTAGCATCGCACATAATTTTAAAAGGTAGGGTTCAATCCGGGGGTTGCATAATAGGAGCAGAGATCAAAGCTTTCTTCAACCTGTTAAAAGCTTCAAGACAAGCATCAGTAAAAATAAATGGAGCATCCTTGGCTAAAATCTCAGTTACAGGTCGAGCAATTTTTGAAAAATCCTTAATGAAGCGACGGTAAAAACCTGCATGACCAAGGAAACTTCGAACTCCTTTTACAGAGTTCGCAGGGGGTAATCGCTCAATGACCTCTATTTTGGCCTTATCGACCTCTATACCCTTATTTGACACGACATGACCTAAAACGATTCCCTGTTGTACCATAAAATGACACTTTTCCAAGTTTAAAATTAGGTTGAATTCTTGACATCTATGAAGCACCTTTTTCAGATTTTTAAGACATATATCGAAAGATGTTCCATAAACAGAAAAAACATCCATAAATACTTCCATAGAATTCTCTATGAGACCTAAAAAAATTACCATCATACAACGTTGAAACGTGGCCGGAGCATTACATAATCCAAATGGCATCCTTCGATATGCAAAAGTTCCATATGGACATGTGAATGTGGTCTTTTCCTGATCACAAGGATGAATAGGATTTGAAAGAAACCAGAATATCAATCCAAATAATAGAAAAAGGAATGCTTAGCCAAACGTTCAAGCATATGATCAATAAAGGGGAGAGGGAAATGGTCCTTCCGGGTAGCCTTATTCAACTTTCTATAGTCAATACACATTCGCCACCCTGTCACAATCCTAGTGGCGACTGGCTCACCTTTGTCATTCTTAACAACGGTCATACCTCCTTTTTTAGGTACTACTTGTACAGGGAAAACCCACTTACTATCTGAGATATGGTAAATTATTCCTGCAGCAAGCAATTTAAGAACCTCTTTTTTAACTACCTCTATCATGTTTGGATTAAGCCTTCTTTGAGGTTCTATAGAGGAGGCATGATCTTACTCAAGAATGATTTTATGCATACAAAAGGAGGGATTAATACCCTTAATATCATCAATGGTGTACCCAATAACATTTTATATTTTCTCAAAACAGTGAGCATTTGCTCCAATTATGTGTCATTAAGCTAAGCATTAACAATAACAGGGTATGTATTATTAGGACCAAGATATGCATATTTAAGAGTAGAGGGAAAGGGGTTTCAACTCTACCTCAGGAGGCGTAGTACTCTCCCTAACACTCGATACACTAAGGACTTCTTTGATTGGAGCGGTGATTGGATTGGCTTTTGCTTCCTCTAGTAACCTTGTGTACTCCCTTGTTTCCCAATCTTCATCATTGACACTCCCTATTAACACCCATTTCAAGTGCATCTTCCGTTTTAATCAAGGGAAGTTGCTCACGTTGTAAATCATCAAGGACATCCACTTGACAAATAGTCTCTCCCATGGAAGGAGTTCCCATAGCATTCAAGAGTGAATACCCCATTTTCTCATCCCCTACTTCAAAAGTGATCTTTCCATTCTTCATATCAATGATTGCTCCTGCAGTAGCTAAGAATGGTCTACCAAGAATGATAGGAACATGTGCATCCTCCTCCATTTCCATCACAACAAAATCACATGGAATAAAGAATTTTCCCACGTGTAGAGGAACATCTTCAAGTACACCAAAAGGAAACTTGACTGATCGATCCGCAAGTTGTAGAGATATACGTGTAGGCTTTAGTTCACCCATTTGAAATTTCTTGCAGATAAAGAGAGGCATAAGACTCACACTTGCACCAAGATCATATAATTCTCTGTTGATTTCTATGTCTCCAAGCTTCACTTGAATTGAGTAGTTACCCGTATCGCCTAATTTCTTAGGAAGTGTATTTTGCAAAATTGCACTACACTCTGTAGTCAATGCAACTATAGCATTCTCCTCTAGCTTCTTCTTGTTAGAGAGCATATCTTTTAAAAACTTTGCATAATATGGCATCTCGGATATTGCATCTATGAATGGAATGTTGATGTGAAGCTTTTTCAAAATATCGAGAAATTTTCCATACTTCATCTCTAACTTAGCTTGGGCTAACCTCTGTGGAAAAGTAACCTTTGGCACATATGGAGCAAGTGGTGGTGGAGTCGTTTCCTTTGGCTCTTCCTCAATTATAGTACTTTCGACCACCTTTTCATTTGCGCCTACTCCTTCAACAACCTCCTTTGATGGCTCCCTTATAGGAGGATTTTCCAATTGCTTTCCACCCCTCAAGGTCACGGCATTCATATGCCCCTTTTGTGGTTGCACTGTTTGACCCGGAAAGGTACCCGGTGTCTTTAAAGATTGGCCAACTTGATGAGCAAGTTGACTTATCTGATTGGCCAACTGTTGGATGGAATTGTTTGTTGTGGTGATAAAGTTCTCCATCATTAGCTCAAGGTTAGATTTTTGAGGAGGTGGTTGCATAGGTTGCATGGGTTGTTGGACTAGAGGTGGTCTTAGTTGGAAACCAGGTGGTGCATTATAATTGTTGTTTCGAGGTGGTGGTGGAGGTGGGTTTTGTTGGGCTTGGGTGTTCTTGTAGGAAAATTTTGGGTGATTCTTCCAACCTTCATTATATGTGTTAGAGTGGGGGTCATATGACCTTTTGGGGTTAGAAGTGTAGAATGCATTAGCTTCCTCGATTGATATCTTATTTGAATTTTGTGGGCAATTAGGTGCGATGTGACCTTGCACATTACACATTTGACAAGTCTCAAGTAAGCTAGTGGATGATCCAGCTTAGAGTCTGTCAAACTTGCTTGAAAATGCCTGCACAGAGCTAGTCAAAAGAGTTAGAGCATCAACATCTAATTTACCTCCCTTCTTCCACTATTTCAGCCTCCTAGGTGATAGTTATCATTGACAGCCATCTTCTCAACTAGTTCCTTCGCCTAAGTTGGGTTCTTAGTCAAGAGAGAACCCCCAGATGCAGCGTCAATATAGATTCGGAACACATGAGTTAGACCATTATAGAAGGTTTGGATCAACATCCATTCAGGAATACCATGGTGAGGGCATTATCTCTGCAATCGCTTGAATCTCCTCCATGCGTCATATAAGGACTCATCATCTGATTGCTTGAAAAGTAGATAACTCATTTCTCAACCTTGCAGTCTTTTCCTGTCCCAAGAACTTGACTAGAAAAGCCTTCACCAGTTTATCCCATGTGTCAAATGAGCCAGAACCTTCATCTCTCAACCATTCCTTCGCCCTATCCCGTAATGAAAAAGGAAAAAGGCGAAGTCTAAGAGCATCATCCGTAACACCATTTAACTTCATAGTATCGCATTTCTCCAAGAAACTATCAATGTGACTCACTAGGCAATCATGAGATGTGCCTGCAAACGAATCATTGGAGATGAATTGAATGAATTGTGGTATCAATTCGAAGTTCTGAGCAGTGACAAGTGGTCTAACAATGCTTGAGAGGAGTTCGGTTGTTGTATCAGGAATACCATACTCCAAAAGAGATTTCGTGCCTTCTTCCATGTTTCTATTGTTTCGATTTCTCCCTCTTACCTCTTCGTCTCCTTACAGTTGCTTCGATTTCAGAATCAAAAGGTGCTAAATCGTCTGATCCTGAACGTCGTGTTTGCATGCAACAAAGAACTAAAAGAAGAGTATCAAAAACACAAGAAACAATAGCCGAAGCAACAAATAAAGCTTAGTAAAAACGAATCATGAATAATTAAAATGAAACCGTTAGTCCCCGGAAACGGCGCCAAAGTTTGATAGACGTGTCGCGTACCTAACAAAAATAAACCTAACTATTCCTCCTAACTATGTAGTCGGGCAAGTAAGGGTCGAATCCCAAGAGACTAAGGTCCACCTAATTAATCAGACTCAAGCAATCACCAAGCAAGTAACCAATCAATAATGACTAACACTAATGACTAATATATTAAATAGCACAATTAATCTAGAGAAAATGATAGTCAACAAACTAAAGTATCTAAGATCAAGCATTACCACGAATATAATCGATACACTAATAAATCTACCCCTAATAACAAGTCAATTTACAAGAGGAAAAGCATTCCCTAATCAATACCAAAGGTCTCTTCCGAGTTATCAATGGCTTCCCATATCAAATATCAAGCCTATTTCCATGGAATCAAGCAATAAGGTACATTAAACACAATACTTAACTTTCTAATCATCCAATCACCTACTTCCGTGATGATCTTCAAACCCTTAATTGAAATACCCAAATCCCGTTAATACCCAACTTCCGTTACAATAAGAACAAGGGGATGATAACAATACTAATTATTCCTAATCTAGCATTGGCATGAACACAATCAATTAAGCATGTCAATTGAGATTATTATCGGAGAAATTAAAGATTCAATTCATATATCAATCATATTCGGGCTTTGCAAGATCCCGGATTAAGGATCTACTCACACATATTAACGAAAGCAAAAACAAGATTCAATGAAGAAAACATAATTAATGAGCAATGAAAAGTAAAACAGAGATAAAGTAGATGAATACCAATTACTTCAATTGAAAGAACTTGAATTGTTGACGAACAATAATCCTCACTAAGGAGTAGAAATTAATTGCTTAAGGAGAGTAAACTAGGGTTTAAAAGTAGTTCTAATACTAGGGAAATAATAAGATGTCTTCTCATTATGATTACAATGGGTATTTATACCCCTGAAAAAAAGATAAAATTCCGTAAACAATTAATGACGGTCATCGCACAATAGTGCCCAGACAGACCGGGCGAAGCCTGCCCGATCGGGCGGACAAAGTTACTACCTTCTTCTGCGTCCTTCTCCTTCTGCCCGGTCAGCCAGCGCAACTCACGCCCGGTCGGGCGCGCGTAACAACTTCAAGAATGATGCTCTAAAAATAACGCTTCATTGCCCGGTCTGCTAGGGCATGACATGCCCGATAGGGCACGTGGGATCAAATGATTATTCCTCGTAGTTAGCTCTTCCTTTCTTCGCCCTAGCAGCCAGGGCATGGGATGCTCGATAGGGCATTGGGGAAATCTTCATTCTTCACTCAACAATTCTTCTATAATCATAAAAAAAAAGTCTAATTCATCTAAGAAATCTCTGTATTCCTGTGAAACTCAATAAGATAGATCAAACATGCTAGAGAAGAGATTGTTAGCAAGAAATGGCTCCGTAAATCTCAAAACCATGCAAATATACACAATAAAACCGAGGTAAATCATGGTATAAAACGCATACATCATAACCTAATTAATCTATTTTAATTATACTATCAAAAAAAAAATAAAAAAAAATTAATCTAACTAATTTTCCTATATAATCCCTTATCCCCAATCAACCCCCTCTAACAACTAATTCCCCATTATCAACACCAATTCTTTCAACTTCAAATCTTCCATTTCTTGTGACATCTCATACATCATAGCAATCAAAAGGTTTAATCTATGTAAGGTAATTCTTAAATTTGCGATAATGTTGCTATAAATTTCTCTAATTTTTAGAGTTTATTCAAAATTTAGGGTTTTCGCAAACTTGAACAATTAAGTAAATTAAATTCTCCAGTACAGAGAATTTAGCATTTGAAACCAACAATTACTGGGTCTTTCTAGATTCTCCTTCAATGGTGATACCTCTGTTCTTCCCCATTTTTGCCTCATTTAAAAACGAATCAAGTGTACGTATGCCTCAACGATTGATTGTAAATGGCCGCAATTTACGAAAATTCAATTGCATTGCAGAGAAGGGTGTTGAATTAGATGGAAGTCATCAGGGTTTTAATTTGGGTTTGGGTATTGAGGAAGATGAACACAGGTGAGAGAGAGAGAGAGGTTTATTTATTTATTTATTTAGTTTTTATTTACTGATTGTTAGGTAAGAGCATGTAGTAAATGAACTAATTAAAGTTAAAATTAGTTAGGGTAATTTTTATATTTAATGTTGTAATTAAAATAGAATAATTAGGTTAGAATTGAATTAACTATGGTTTAACCAGAAAAGTGACGTCATTTATGCCTTAAATTCCCGAAAAATGCAATTAGGTAGTAATTGGTAGAATTTATCTTAATTAGGGGTAGTAATTAACAACTTTTTTTTAGGAGTAGTAATTCACAAAGACACTCTTTTTGGGGCAGTAATTGACAAATTTTCTTTATTGAAGAGATAGAGAGAAAATTTGTTGGAAAATAATGTCAAAAGTACAAAAAAAAAATTGATGACAACCCATCAAAAAGAGAAATATTGTCAAAAAGTACGTTCTTTAAATAGAAATAGGCATGTAGTTTTGAAACCTCTAAAAAGAAAAGTAGGCATGTAGATAAGGAACGGAGGGAGTACTAAATTACAAAAACTTTGGTGCAAGTCAATACAGCTGTAATAAAACTTTGGATATAATTCCAAAAGAAAGAGTTATCTGATAAGTGTTATTATGTAGCACTTCATTCGTATTTTCCTATGCAATTGACAAAAAAAAAGGCTTGGACTCTTTGGAGTAATACAAGTAGATAGATATAGAGTAGACTAATAAATAGATATATCATACGAAGTATATATAGTTGGTCATTTAATACAACGTGCAAATACTTCTTCCGTTTCTTTTTAGTTGTAACATTTTTCTATTTTGGAAATTGTTAAGTACTTGTAAGTTGAAATACTTTTTATTTTTGTCATTTCTTTCTCTATATCTCTCTCCTAACTAAAGCTGTCAAAAGCTGACACAACCCGAAAATTTTACCCAAACCCGATCATAACCTAACCTATTTTGAACCTGAAAAATTGGTGACTCGAACCCGATATGACCCGACTTGAAACCAACCCGAGACCCGAGTTAACCTTAGGATTCGTAACCTAAACTCGAAGATGACCCGACCAGAGATGACCTGACCCAAACATAACCCGTCAATTATTGACTTGAACCAAACCCAACCTGAACCCAAGATTGACCCAAATCCGTTTTGACTCGTTGAAACCCGAAATCAACCCAACCTGTTACTAACCCGACCTGAATTCAACCCAACCTAGATTCAACTCGACCTATTACTAATACGACTCGAATTCAATCCGATTTGTTTTTAACCCGACCCAAACCTGATGTAACCCAACCCGAATAGTAATGCAATTAACTCAAATTGACCCGAACCGAGCTAACTCGACCCGAACACTCAAATTGACAAATCTGCCTTTAACATTGCTTACACATTGTTTCCTTAAATCAACTTTCCCACACCACACACATATCCTAACTCTTATATTCTTATCTCATATAGCTAGTAATCTAGTTTAGCACATTAATGCTTTAAAATGTTTCACTCAATGAAGCTAGTTAATTGAGAAAGATTGTAATCCGAATCACAAAACTTATAGTAAAGAATGGAGTATTAAATTGGCACAAACAAATGTTAACTAAACCTATCTTACCAAAATTAATATCAACTTATTAAATCTTATCTTAAATTTATATAAACTCATTTGTTCGAATGTAAACTTATTTGAAATTATTTATCCTAAAATAAGTGAAAAAAAAAATGGAGTTTAAACTTATTAGCTCGAATATAAACTTATCTGAAATTATTTCTCTTACAATAAATGAAAAAAATTGATAATGATTAAACTTGAACGTCAATACATGAACTCTTAACAAACCGACTCGAAAAATGTACCCGAACTTGATATGACCCGATCTGATATCAACCCGAAACCCAGATTAACCCAATATTTAAGACCCAAACCCGAACATGA